CCCCCCCCCCGCCGCCTTCTGGCCTTTGTCCACCCAGCCCTGCTGCCTGGATTACCACCCCTTTTCCCAAAGCCCCGAATCCCAGCTTCTCGCCTGCCCGGAGGGTTCGTGCAGCACTACCTCCACCACCACCCCGCATCACCCAGGAAGCTCTGGGCAGCTTCTTCCTCGCTGTCTGGCCAACACGGGGCAGAGACGGAAGGGCTTGCCTGGCGTCACCGAGCCACGGAGGCAGGGTCAGCTCTGGCCTCTCCTACTCCTTAGCTCTCTCCTTGAGCCCTAAGAGGGCTTCAAGGTTGGCAGCAGGTTAGCCGTGCCCCAACCTGATGTCCCTGGGCACAACCTACCAAGCTCAGCCCTTAGCAAATGCCAAAAGGCCCTGGGAGAGGTGGCAGGGCTGTGAACAGAGCGACCCCCACAGGCACTCACGCCCAGAAGTCCTCCACGGTGTCGACCTTGGTGACCAGGTGCAGATTGTCCTGCCAGGCCCGGCTGCGGTCATTCTTGAAGAACCACAGAGCCCACCTGGTTGGGGGAGGAGGTAGCCAGGGGGAAGCAGAGAGCCCTCCCACCCTCTTCACCTGTGGCGCACCTGGGCTGGCAGGGAGGTCCCTTCCTTCCAAGCACAAATTGAGAGATGGAATTCGGGGCACAGATACCACCCCCAAGGTGCCAAGTCAGTCACCCTGAAGGGTCAGGGGGTGAGTGGGAGCCACCTGAGGTGGTCTCAGCTGGTTAAGGCTGGCCTCACCTGGGTTAAGACTGGCTGGGGCCTTAAGCTGGCCTTCCGTGGGTGCAGAGGGAAGGGAAGGAGATGACGTGGGGAAGCATTGGATGCCCTTTCCTGGCTTCTGCACCCCATTTCTGCAAGGGCAGAAGCCTCCCCAAGTTCTTTTATGAAGTTTCTCAGCCACGCTGGGGTCACGTACTTGCGAGAGCCCAAGGCCGAGCCACCGCTGATGGGGGCCAGCCTGGGTCTGCACTCAGTTGGCAGACGCGCCTACCTGTTTTGTAGGGGGTGCAACTCTAGCTTGAGCTCCGTGGGACCCTCCTCCAAAGCCTCTGTTCCCATTGACACCAGGGCTGCTGCCTCCTCCTCACTCTTCTCCTCCTCCCTCTCCCGCTCTCCAAGTCCACCCGCAGCATCACTCGCCTGACCAAAGGAAAGGGTCAGGGTTGCTGGAAGCCCTGGCCCCACTAACCCCATACCCCTCCAGCCTACTCCGTGCCAGAAAGGACAGGCATGCACTCACAGGGCCTGCAGCAGCCATGCCAGGTTCAAGCCACACGGCTGCCTGGCACCGAGGGGCCCCAGCTGCCAGCTTTTAACTCACCAGCATTTCTCCCCTCCCCCATCCCAGGGCAGGAGAAGGAGGCGGAGCCAGAGACCACGAGGCTTACCCAGATGCCCAGATGCTGTCTATCAGCGAGTATTTAGTGAGCACCTTCTGCACACGGGCCTGGGGCTGGGGACACAGCTGAGGCCAGCAGATCCGGGCCCGTGCAAGCGGCTTGGTGCCAGCAAGGGTCAGAACTAGGGGCTGCCCTTAGGACACTGAGGCCTGTGTCCCCCGAGGGTGGCCCCTGATTTAAAGTGGACTGTCCCGCAGAAGGCAGAAGCTACAACAGTGACACACCGGGTGGGGGGGGAGCGTCTGCTGCCACTCACGCCCTCGGTTTGCCCACTAGCATCACCCGGTGTAGGCATCCATCTGGTCCCTGGACAGCCAGAGGTTTTTCAGTTTTCCATTGTTTTTTTACATTAGACACAGGGAGCTTTTATACTGAAATCTGCATTTTTAGTTTCTCTTGAGAACTTGGGAAGGTCTGGCTTTGCAGGGCCTCTGCCTCACAGGTCCACAATCTGCAGTGGCTGAGGCAGCCCGGGAAAGGGGACCTGGGAGCCACAAAGCCCTGCAGCACCTCGTGCCCCTCCTGCGCATCGATGACGAGGGCCATTGCCACTGTCACATGGACTGGGTTCCAGTCCTGCCCTTCTCTGACCTCGGCCAAGTCACTGAACCTCACAAGCCTCAGGTTGCCCATCTGCAAAATGGGCAGTTAGAAGCGTTCCGTGAGTTTTCATGACAGGAAACACACAAACACACAGCCCCTAGGACAGGGCCTGGCTCTGCTCGCTGGAAAGCCGCCGCAGCTACGAAGGGGTGTGGAGGGGAGGGCAGGGAAGGGGTGGGGCAACGACCCCTTTTCTGCAAGGACTGAAGCCTCCCGAAATTTCTCAGCCACTTTCAGGGTCTCATGCTTTTATAAAGAGACCAGCCCCTTCCCCTCTCACACCCGTGAGCCCATGCCCCCCCAGAGGCTGACGTCCGCACTCACTCAGACCCTGGTACGGCTAACACGGCTAGTGCTGGGTGCCCTGATGAGCGAAAATGGGCAGCCCAGTGCCCAGGTCTACTGGCACCCAGTCACCCCCAGGGGGTCTCCGAAGGCCTGTGTCGGCACCGCTGCAAGGCTGGCGGGGGGGGAGGGGGGAGAAAAATGAAGTCTGTTCTTGCGCCTGAGGGTATTTGCTTTTTCTTTTTTTTTTTTTTTTTAATTTGTCAGAGGACTGTGTGGGGTGGGGGGGGGACAAGAAAGCACCCCCTCGGGGCCAGCAGGTGGTGTGGTTGAGGCTCTGAACTCCCACATGGTCAGCCCCGGTTCAAGTCCCCAACATGGTGACTTGCTTTCTCATTGTCCCTCTCTCTCTGGTGATCACACATACCCTATAGCAAACCTAATAATAAAATAAGTAAACCATTAGGAAGAGAAAAAGCGCCTCTCCCATGGGGCACAGTCACACTGTAATCCCGTCTCTTTTGTTTCTCCCTTCGTCAGGATTTTGGGCCTGCACACATGCCCAGCATGTTTTTCAAGGCACCAGGTCCAGGACTCAAACTGTATGGTTGACCAAGTGGGACCCAGCTGCCTTAGCCACCAAGCCATGGAACTGGCCCAATATTTGCACGTCTTTCTTTCTTTCTTTCTTTCTTTCTTTCTTTCTTTCTTTCTTTCTTTCTTTCTTTTTGAGAGATTTTTGCTATAGGGCGCGTGCACTCACCAGACAGAGAGAGACATAGAGACAGAAAGCGAGAAATCACCCCCCAGGGGGGATGGCCACACTGCACTCCCTTCTCCTCCATTCTCCTCTCGGGATCTTGGGCACGCACGCACATGCGCCCAGCATGAGTTTAAGCCACGGGGTCCGGGACGCGAACCGCAGTCAACTACGTGGGAGTACAACGACATAGCCATTACGCTAACTGCTGGTCCCATTTGCACGTCTTTCTAACAAGTTCCCCCTTCGAGAACCACTGACTGAGAGGCAATTCACAGACGCCATATCTGAGCAGAGCCCCAAAGCATGAGCAAGACGTAGCCGGCCAGGCGGGGTGTGTGCACAGGCCCCGGGCGGAGGGTGCGTGGGTACTGCAGGGGCAGAAGAAAGACCAGCGTGGCAGAAGCCCAGAGGGAGGGGTGGCTCAGTCCCCACCCCAGGAGCAGTGAAGTCCCCCGGCTGCTTCGTGGGTGCGGATGGGCCAAGGGGGAGCAGGCATGCGCTCAGCAAGTCTCTGACTGCTGTGTGGGTAACAGAACCTGCAGCGAGGCTGCGGGGACGTCCATCAGGCTGCTACTGTAGTTTCCAGGTGACAGATGGGGTGGCAGAGAAAGTGGAGGAAGGTGATGGATTTGAGAGGTATTTAGAAGGGAACTCGGGGATAGCCGGTGACAGATAGGCCTGGGGGGCGGAGCACGTCCCCGCGTCCTAGTTATCTGCGGCTGCATAAGAATCGCGCTCAGCTTAGTGGCTTAAAACAATAATCACTTGTGTGCCCTCAAGCCCGCGTGTGGGCGGCGTTCAGCGTTCCGCGGGCACAGCCAGGTCTGTGCCAAGGAGGTCGGTGGGGTGGCTCAGGGGTTGGGCACGGCGTCCTTGGGTCACTGCCCGAGGAACAGTTCATGCTGGCTGTTCTGCCAGAACCTCCCCCAGGGGGCCAGCTGAGACATCCCCTACTGCCCTCTCCAGGGGCAGCCGGGCTCCAGGGCCAGTGTCTCCAGGGACAGGAAGTGGAAGATGCCAGTGTCCTGGGCCTGGCACCTGGCACAGCAGACCACCATGTTCTATAGGGAGAGGACATGACCCCACTTCTCAACAGGAGGAGGGTCAGAGTTCAGGACAGAGGAAGCGCTGGAGGGGACAGACTTGGCGCGATCACAAATCTAGATTCGATAGAGAAAGAGAAGGAAGAACTGCCCCCAGGTTCGGGGCATGGTCAGAGCTGCCTTAGCATCCTGGCCTGGAGCACAGCATGCAATGACCCTGCCAGACAGGGTCCATCCCTC